ATATGTGTATAGTTATAAAAAATCAAAGAATTAAGTATACTTTTCTAACACAAAATTTATTTTGTTACAGTATTATGTAATACAGTTTGGTTAAATGAACTTTGTCGATTTCCAAAATTTTCCTTTCCTACTCCCATATAAAATTATTCATGTTATTATATTAGAGATTAAAACAAGAGCATTGGAGCAGAGTTCATATTTCCTTGATTGTCTGCACTTGGTTTTACTCTCCATCTTTTCACATAGAACAGAGATTAGTTTTCATGCCTAACCATGATGGTTGTTATTAATATGTAGTATTACACTCAGTATCATCAAATTTGCAAATAGAGATCCTCCACCTACATACCTAGCCTGTGTCTCTTCCATATGTTGACTGATGTAGACTAATTTTTGTTCTTAAATGTCTTAGAAACTCAAGAATGCAAGACAGATTTAAACCATCAAAATGAAAGCAGTTTTTAAATGCACTATACCAATAAACGTAGGCAAACATGTAACTGTGCTGTACATTTTCATCCATCAAACATTGACAATCTCTCTACAATTGTCTAAGCAGCATCTTATGGTGCAATTGAATGGTCCCCTTCCTGTTCCTTTTAATAAAATTATGTGGTGTTCGAGTGATTCACATATTCAAGAAGTGACCGGTCTAAGACTCTTCGGATAAGAGCTTCCTCGATTATATTAAAATCCTACAATAAAGAAAAATGATTAGAAACATCCGGAGTCAAAAGTGTTTCAGAAACTGGAGGATGATGGTCAATGCAATGCCCTCATTTTGCAGGAAACTAAAGCCCTGAGTTAAGTCACTTGTCCAAGGTTTCACAAAGCCTGTCACAGAACCCAGGACTTTAGCCTTGGGGCTAATATATTTTCTGTTTCACTTAACTGTTTATCAATGAACTAGTTACTGTCATAATAAAATAGTCTTGATTTGGAATTTGAAGTTTTTATCTGACATAATTAGTAGTTTTTAGTCAATATTACAAATGCTGCTCAGAGAGCTATGTTCCGCACAAACATGTCACATGGAGTTAAGGCGTCCACAGGATTCCCCAATGCCAGCAATACTACTGAATATCTATTTCTGAAAAAAAAATTGTTGAAAACAAAACTTTCTTTCTCCTCATTTCCCTATGTGTCAAAATGGAATTCAAAGTCAGCACGTTCTACAAATAAAACAAAAACCATTAAGAACCCTACCCTCTGCAATCCCTCTCCTCTTCCATAACGAACAAACAACAAAACTGAAATCTCTATTCAAAGTCCATTCTAAAACGTAAAAACAAATAAACAAAATCCAAAGGAAAGCCATAAAGCACAGTAGAGCACGAGGTTTGGACGTGATACTGGCTTGTTCTCAGGCAATTTAGTTAACCTTTGAGCTTCAGATATTTCACAGTTAAATGAGGATAAAATAAAGTATTCACCTCACAGAAGTTGCTGTAAGGAATAAAATGAGATAATATGCATAAAGAGTCTAGCTTAGTCCACAGTAGCTCAGGAAACAAAAACTCAAAACAAAGAACACTACTTCAAGTTCACTTTCCATATTCTTATCAAAGTAGCTTCATTCTGACCAGCTCCAGGGTCATACATCGTCTGAAAGATCTTGAGACTATACTGAACATGAGTAACGAGACAGGCATGGAATCAACCTGCTTTTAGAACATCTCACAGAGCCAGGATAAAGAGGAACCCATTTATGTTACCAATGAGAACCCATAGACCCAAACCAGGTTCTAGAACCTATGTGCCTTACTGGACACAAAAGACATTATTAGAGAGATGGAGTGGAGAATATGAAACCTCTCTGTCATGTACCTTGTTCAGTTCTTCAAGTGGTCCTAATAATCCTACTTATTCCCACCCTATCTCCAACTTGCCTAACATCTGTGCCTGAACTGTGCAAATCACTTTATATGCATTACTTAATCCTAACAAGAGCTTTTGGCAGTAGCTGCTTTTGCTCTACTCACTTAACAAATGAACAAACTGAGGTTCAGAGGTTAAATATCTTCCCCAAGGTCACACACAGCTGTGACAGAGCTATTACTTAAACCTAGGTTAGAACTCAAGCTTTTTGTGTCCCATCTAGATAGTTCTGTCCAGTGGGCATATCAGAAAGCATGGAGAAAATTTTTAAATGACAATCTTCAACAATTATTAAATTTTATCTTGAAATTGCATAAAAAGAAAAGAGTCAAAATCATGTAACAATTATATGGAAATTTAAATTTAACCCTTTACATTTTATGTATTCAGATAAAAGTAACAATAACATATATTATTTCAGAACATGACTATGAGTGATTTTCTTCCCCACAATAGGCAATACTCCTTTGGTGAGAGGGGCTTTGGGGACAATGCCTTATTCCCACTTGGCAACATATGGACCAAAGTAGAGCAAAGGCTATGTTAACTTTTTTTCCCCCAGTAGAGATCGTTCCATTGCGTATGTTAACCTTTTTGTTTGCCATTCTGATTTCTCACAATGGGAAATACATTCATAAGTATTAAGACTATTCATACTATATGTAACTTTTCTTCTACCTTAAAAACTCTTAATATAATGAGATTGATCATGAGTTGGTAACTCAGGCTAGGTCATGGATATACGGGGGTTCATTATATTATTCTGTATACTTTCGTGTACATATAAATTGTTTTCATAATAAATATTTTTGTTTAAAAATTTCAATAAACACAAGTTTTGTGTTTTACAGAATTTAAAATAAAAAATGAGAAG